GTTGTTAAATTTGTATCAACGATTTTCAACGAATGAAATGTTTCTCGCAACATTCAGCGAGAAAAAAGTACTCTAGGCTTATGTCGGAATCGAGGCAACACTTAATACCACACAATTCATGTTTTCAAATTTGCAGCGGCAAGCTTCTGTAATTGAATCTTCTTGGCTTTACCGCAAAGCTATAAGATAATTGGCTTATCTCTGCAGTTATAAACCGGCCCTCTTACAGAAAACCGATGAAGAGGCCTCAAAGAAAATACTCAGCCTCGGGACGGTGAGATTAGCGCGGCAAAAATGAAAATGGAGCGAGAATCGCCGAGGAGAATGAGAAACGCGATTCAACCCTGGCGCGAGCTTATTTAAGACAGATTATTCTCCGCAGCGCGCGCGAATCATCAGCGAAAATGAAAATGCCCTCGTTTACGCAGACCCGAATTAATTGCTCTCGATTGCAACGGCTGACTCAGTCGTTTAACAGAGATTTCTTACTGACATTGTCGACATTGTAATTGCAAATTGCGATGTTCAATAACGATCCATTTTTTTTTTATCCAGAGAGCGAATTCATCGTAGCGTTACTTCATTATAACTGCAATGGATCAAAACATACTGGTTGGCTTTTCACAGATTTTGCTCTTTCCTAGATCTCATGCAAGACATATAAGAAATAATATACAGTACGAAGTAAAGTTTCATTGCTTGCACCATTGTATTCAACTTGTTTCACAGTGTAAGTGGTCATGTCCGGTCAGCCAGTTATGATTTCAGGATGTCTCACTTTTGTTATTTCTGGGCTTTTTATTATATCAATAAATATTAATAACATCAATACAACGTAAAATAAAATATTTATTGACAATCTAATGGATAAACCCAACACTAGAAGTTGTGGTAGTCTTCATATTCTTTTAGTGCATTTCGCATATGAAATACATATTCATAAATGTTTTAACAACTGCTTTTCCCAAAGCTTATTAAATAATAACTATGAAAAGAATAAGGAGCGATGACTTTTTTTATTACACTGAACTATCTTATATTTAATTATTCAAATTTACCGTACATAAAAATACTTATGTAACGTAAAAATATGTAAGTGAATGAAAGTGTCGCGATTGATTTTTCCTCTTTTTTTTATCGATATGAAACGAGAAACATATAATATCTTTAGTTTGTTGCTACACCCGCTGAGCACGTAGCGAAGCTCCAAATGGGAGAAAAAGTGGGCGAGAGAGAAAGTCGTGAGCGAAATATAAGCGTCGTTGTGCCATGGCGATTGTAGGATGCAGGTGTGTAGGTCGGCGCTGAAATAACAATAATGCCATTCAGCGCGGTGGCATTCGACAGTGGGGTCGGAAACAATGAAACAATCAGAGAGCTGCGAACGGGGCGGCGCCGGAAGTCAACATTGCCGGACAATGAACACTCCAGCCAGCCCCATGGTTCTCGCAAGCACCGCTCTCTCTCTCTCTCTCTCTCCCTCTCCAGCGCAAAAGCTCCGACGTCTCCTAATTAAGCGACTTCGCGCCGACTTTAATACCGCTCATCGCGCTCCAGTCCATGAATCGCCTTTTCGATGCCACGGAAAGCTTCTTCCCTGCGGATTAAGTCATTTTCCGCATTCGTAATTTTTTTGTTTGTATCTCAATATGCTGATCAACCTGGTCGGCTAGTTCGAAACAATGTGCTCTTGCAAGACAGAGACGGACTCATAAAATCTGGATTTCTTTTATTTAGGATTGTTTTTTTTTTTAATTTTTTGGGGAAAAATTACATGCGGCTTAATTAATCGTGCCTGATTATTTGTGGATTCGTATATTCACAGTGAATTATAATTTTAATAAGTTTAGAAAATGTTTTGGGTGGCAGAAAAATGCTCTTCTACTCTTACGAGCGTTTTGTACACAAGTGCAAACATAAATATATTTGATGATCCGCCCACTGACCAACTTCAATTCCACGACAATAAATCAGGTTTGAAGCTGCATCGACATTCCGAATGCGGTTTCATTCAATAATCAGAGCACGCAATCACCTCCGGGTGAAAAGAAAATGAACGCGCCAGCGCAGAGAGTTGAAGCAGCCGCGTTTCGCGGAAATATGAGCAAGCCATTGGATGCGTATCACATCGCAGCCTCTTGTCGACTTCTATTTTTCGTTGATTACTCGGGCATAATCGGATCCGGTATAGGCCAATAGCCCCGCATGATTTCGGGTTTGTCTACGGGTAACGCGGTTGTCGGGCAGCGCGCCCTCGTCTGAATGTGCTTCATTGTGTCGACGCCCACTCAAAACTTTCAATGCGAGAGAGGGAAAAAGGGGGTGTTACTGAGACAAAGCCGCGGTGATGTGTACGCCAGATCGGGCTGGAAAGAGCAGGCGAAAAAGACAAAAAGTTTACGGGATTAAAGTTGCGACGCTCGGATGCATTAACGCCGTTATCTAAAGTAGGCCACGTTTTTTCGCGATGAATGTCTATCTCAAAGCGCAGCAGCTCGAACGCGTGCAAAATAATTTGCAAATCGTCGTGCAGTACAAATGAAAACTACGGATAAGTAATGCAAGAAGCATTGGCAAAATGAAAAAGAAAAAAACTTGAAAAGAAATTGACGATGTTAAACCGCAGGATAGCAAATGAGTTTAGCGGAGCACGGTCGGTCGATGCCGTTGAGAGTTGATCTTATAACGGAAAAATAAATTGCAAATGAAAATTCTGCGTAATTGATAAGGCACACGAATCGCGGACAACAAAGAGTAAACGAATAGAACACAATGAGCTTATGCGAGGATAAAGCGGCTCGTGAATGCCTTTGACCGAAATTCATCCCTTTTCATTTGTACCCACGGGAGTTTATCGGTGACGCTCGAGTACTGCAATTATGACATTTGTGTTGCGATAATTTGGTAGTTAATACAATCATACCAAGAATAACGCATTGTTCGTGTCATTGTATTAGTTTCCGAGCGACACTGCGATCTTAGGCTGTTTCTATGAAAAACTTTTAGAAATTGTGTTTTTCGATAAACGTGTACGTGTACTATTTTATCAATAACTAATGTTCGCTCGTGCTGCGAAAGTATCGATCACCGTTGTTACGAGCTCTATTTCGATGGAACAGAAAACGATAAGCTTCGGTTGCGTGCAAAATAATATCGACAATTTCGAATGGCGTAAAAATATTCGTTCCAAATGTTACGTCAGAGCGAGAGACGTAATTGACTTATTCGACCTTACCAATTCTGATTGCTCCGAATGAAATATTCGCAAGCAGTTACTACGCGTACTACAAACTCAAAAGTGTGACCATAAAATGATCAAGAAAAAAAATAAGAGACAGCGCGCGAAAATTTAGCAGTCCGCGTACGCGAGCGTCAGTCCCTCTCATCGCTTGATCTTCCGAACGCACAGTGGTAGCTCGGCGATAGAAAGAAAGGGAGAAGTGGAGCTCGCACTCCATTGGTATGCGCGGAAGTGCTCGGGGCTCGATTGTAGGTGGCATTGTAACCGAAGAATGTCCTCGTTGGCAGAGCTCGCCCCCGTGCTGTGAGCGAAGACGCCCTGGTGCCGGACCAAGATAAGGATGCCCCCCCCCCGTAAAATTGAGAGCCGCCTCTCTCTCTCTCTCTCTATCTCTCTCTCTCTCTCTCTCTCTCTCTCTCTCTCTACGAGTTAAGATGCAATTGCCGATTTATGCGTGCGCTGTTTTCGTAACTGCAAATCGCTGTATAGATTAGCAATGTCACAAAGTACGATGGGATTGTGCCGGTATATCAAGTTGATAATTAACGAATAACAATAAAATCCAAAAAGACGCGTGACTCTTGAGAAGACAATCAGAATCTCAAGAATAAATGCTCACCGCGGCAAAAAGGGAGAGAGAGAGAGAGAGAGACAGAGAGATCGGATAAGTGCGACGTATAAAAAAATTGAAGACTGGAAAATCGGTTGGCGCCTCTTCATACGCAGTTATAGGACTTTAAAAACGACGCGATAGAGTTCCTCTCTGTCTTTCTCTTGAAAGAAAGGAAGAAAGAGAAAGAGAGAGGAAGAGAGAGGGAGAGAGGAGATGGGAAGCTGGAGAGCGTGCGGCGTAGCGCTATTCTCCATTCTGGTGTTATCTCGCCACGGAGAAAGCGCGTGATTGCCTTTATGGGGGAAGAAAGGGTCTTTTGCGGTAGCGATAATGTCTCGCGCGCCCCGACGCTATCAGAAATAAAACACGGAGGCGGGAAGGGAGGGGGGAGGGCTCCTTACTTCTACCAGGGCACGCGATCTTTACACCGGGCGCGTTCGCGAGACCTCTTGTTTTCTTGATGCGCTTATTTTCACATCTTCGCGCGGACTCTAATTACCTTTTGCTTTACCAACCCAGCGTCGCCAACCTTCGATTCGTTCGATGCTTGAACGGTAGCTCGTTCGAGAATAAATCTCTTATCCTCGTCTCTCATCGCGAATTCAACAATTCTGATTAGGGCGTATTTGAAGATGTTCGTTAACGAGCAACTTACAAACTTGTCAGCGTTGTCGGCATTAGCCGAACGCACCAAAGATCACTTACCTTTGAATTAATTAGTCAAGTTGAAATTGTTTACACTGCTGAGTGAACACCTTGGAGAATTACGCGAGTTTCGATCCTGTTATCTCGCCTCTCTCTCTCTCTCTCTCTCTCTCTCTCTCTCTGTGATTACATCCATTTCCGTGTGGAGCAAGCGAGCAGTTTATGCTCAGTCGATTTATGCCCGTTCGTCGCTATGGATATAATGTGAGTAACGAGGCTGTCGACGAAACCGCCAATTAAACTCTGTCACACGAATATAGAAGCATAGTGATCCTCAGCGTTCACAGTTATAAATGTTGAGATAACAAGTACTCAAAGTGATAAAAGATAATTGAAAATTATAACATTTATTTTTAATAACGATTAGAATAGAACAATAAGTACCTCACTTGAGAGGATTAGCTTGTCAAGTAAATAAGTCATTTAATGATCTATTTCAGTTCAAAATTTATTTACAGAGTTAATGTATTTTACAGAGGAACGTCACGAATGATATTTAACAATTACAGTTCTAATTTGTGATGGTAGTTATGGATCGATGGAGAGAGAACTTCAGAGTAGACGAGTATGTGCTAATATGATTACATTCATTTTTTTGTTGTCGCTTTCTTGCCATATGCCAATACTACAGTGCAACTATTCTTTTGTTTATTAACGATAATCGATTTCATGGATGAGATAATTTATTACGCTAACGATGATTGCAAGCGCAACAATAAAAACTATTTGAAACTTTTTACGCTTTTCGAGATAACTTACATTGAAACTTTTTTTTACAATCGTTCAGTAATTGTTATTTCACTTGAAATCCTACGATATTTTATTGTAGATCACAGAATTTGGACTACTTTACATTTTTATTCTTTTAATGTTCTTATTGGTTTTTTTATCTAACCAACATAAAAATAACAGTAACGTAAATAAACAATGTAACAATACAATAAAAATAATTATTCGACATAAGCACATTTTCATTATTCTAAAATTGTAATCTTTTGTAATAAAAAATACAAAAGCAACTATACTTACTAAAAAACAAATAATAGAATGAACATAAACAATATGTTTCATAACATAATTTCCTATAATTGAAATTAATCAAATTTTACATTACTATCGTTAAAATTGAAATGTTTAGCTAAATAATGTCAACATTTGGTTAAATTTGATATGTTAGAGTTGTATTTTGCTTAGTAATAGATGTAAAATATAAAACGAACATATCAGAAGTTCAAATCGTCATTGCTGTATAAATAAAAAAAGAATCATAAATTGTATGATTTCGGTAAGGATTCGTGCAAGTGCCACGTGCGCATTGCATATTTCGATCGAAAGTTGAACGCGCCATCATAATTTCACTATGAAACCATTGATTTTCGTCGTTTTTTACCGAATCGGCATCTAAGCATCCAAGTAAAACCTAATTAAATGAGAGCATCCGAAAGCAATGAGAATGAAATGCCGTCGAGAAGCCTAAACACGTATGCAATGAATTCGCATTGCTATCAATCGGAAAGCCAAACGCGGCAATGTAATTCCGCGGAGTACGTGGTATTGAAGCAGTGCGCATATAACGTAACCGAGACTCGAGCAGAGAGCCGCGGGCGGGCGCGCCGTCGGCAACGAGGCTTATTTCGCATGGTCGCTCGCCTAAAGGCGGCTCCGGAGATTTGCAACTCCACGGGCTTTTTTGCCCGAGCACGCGCTGCACGCAGAGGCAGAAGGGAAAATAAGTCCGCGCGCGTGTGTGTATGTTTGGATAGTTTAGCGCGAGCATAATATGTTTTGGTTATCTCATCAAAATTGGACGTCGGCGCGCTTTGTAGGGATTTTCTGACGGCGCGCGTGTCATATCGATTCAATCCTCTCTCTCTCTCTCTCTCTCTCTCTCTCTCTCCCCGCCCCCCCTCTCTCGAGAAACTTTTCCCGAACGGTAGCTCTTTCTCTCCTCCGCTTTTTCGCCTAGTTCCCTTCTCCTTTTCATGCGGAAAGGGAAATGCCATTTTTTTTTCTTCTCCAGAGCGACAGAGAGGAGAAAGAAAAAAAAAAGCGCACGTTCACGACTCATTTTCGTGCTTAATGACCAAAAAATTGTCGCTCTTTTTTGGCTCCTGGATTCTATTTACGCCCACACGTGTACCTTTTTTTAAGGTTTTGCGCTCGTGCTCGATGGCTCGTTTCAATTTGAAAACGGCTCCAAGTCGCGGGGATTTCACATGGCTGGCAAACTTGGGACTTTGTAATTTGAGCGAGATTGCATCGTAATCGATGTGTGTGATGAGAAATGCATTGGATTTGAACGTAAAAGCGATATGGTATATGAATAAGGAACCTCATACACGGGAATAATACGATAAAAGTAAAATAGAATCTATTCACTGTCGAATTCAAAGGAAACTTATGCCCGACACAATTTTGTTTTACCAAAGTCAAAGCGAAATTGCATTCCTGTTAAAATCTCATTTCATTACTTTTGTAAGAATTTCTGCAGATAAAATTATTATTTTGTTATAAATGTCCGAATATCGATATAGTTATTGTTTCGAAATATATCGCTCGCCTTCGAAAAGAAAAACTTGCACAAATCTGTACCTACTTAAACAGCAAATATAAATCACAACGCTTTCGCAAAATAAACTCACTCGACATATTTTACTGAACGCTGGCAACGGACGACGGTCTTGCGCTCTCCTCAAGGTTCCTCGTGGTGGTCAGATTGGTGGCAGCCAGTTGGGCAGGAATAGGCGAAAGTATGGGTGGTACTTGTCGCCACCAGTCGGCGCTAACGTTACCCCAAGCGAGCTGGTTCCCCCGCAGGTCCGGGAGAACCGGAAGCGGTCTTCATATGACATGACTGCGAGGTGAACTTGCCGCGAGACTCTGAACGGAGAAGTTAGTCAGCGGTTTTGGCGAGGCTGATGATATCGTCGTCGTTGTCGTCATCGTTGTTGTCGGTGGATTGATCGGTCTGGGTATCGCTGGTTTCATCTCGGATTTCTCGACAATGATGGGCGACGAGGAAGACGTGGTCGAGTAACGGTCCTCGGACTTGTCGTCGTGATCTTGGGCTAGCGCGGCTCGCTCTGTCGATGCTTCGAATGAGTCGTCGCTGAATTTACGAAAGTCTTTGGAATCCTTGCTTTCTAAACTGAAGCGGTCGTCCTCCGCTCGCGCCGGACTTGGAAACGGACGGTCTTCTGGTTTACCTGGTAGGAAACTTGGCCTTTTCACGTCTTTCGTGGGACTTGGGCAACCGCAATTCACCTGGACACACAGATTCAGACATTATCATGAATATTAAGACAATATTTTGCTAACACGAGTAAAAGTGACTAAAATAATCATCACTACACAGTACGACAAATATTTTCACTGTGTTGTATTGCTTAAACGACAAATTTGGTTTCTAAATTAAGAATGACAGCTTATTTTTGAATATCTTTTTTTAACAACGTTGAATAACGTAACGAAATATTAACCTGCAAGCAGTTCGGTGCTGTGAGTCCAGGCCACGCAACTCCCTGCGGGTTCGAGTAAAAGCTTCCTCCCGACCCGTACAGTGCTTGAAAGGCCAAATCAGCTGCGAGCTTGCCACCGTTGAAGTCTTCGCCAATTTTATGTTGTATTGGATAGAGATGATAAGGAAAGGGGTGGAAAAACCTCGGGATTTTAAGGTCTTCCGCGTGCTGTATGAGTGGATGATTGCCGAGGCTTGGTGTACCCAGCGGTGGACCTAATAAGCCTCGTGATATCGTACTCAGATGATTGTGATGTTCGTTGCTTGGCATGTTGAGGGGCGAGAGTCCAAAACCGAATTTGTTTTCTTTCTTGATGACGGACTTGGGCTTCCGTCGAGGGCGATACTTGTAGTCCGGGTGCTCCTTCATGTGCAGCGCCCTGAAACCGAATGTTATAGCGTGATAGTTTACGGCTAATGGCGTTATTCGGAGCGATTGTACGTACGAGGGCGCGGGAGGCGGTGAACTTTTTAAGATTTCAGAGAGCGAGACGGTTCACTTCTGTTATTATATATTGAAGTAAAGTGTACGTGAAAATATTACGCATTGAAGTCACTGGCAATGACATGAAAGTTGCTATAATAAGAGAATTGAAATTTCCCGTGTGATTGGCATTGATTTGTGGATTCACAATCGCCTATCTATAACTCAGCGAAGCTATAAAAATCACTGAATAGAGCGAAATTGTAATATCACGAAAAGATAAGAGCGCGAAAAATTATTGTCAAAATGCCATCAAGAGCGAAGGCGCTATGGAACCATTGTCGGCCGAACAACAGCGAGAATTGTCGCAGTGCGCACGGAGCGAGATAAGGCAGCCCGTTTCGTCTTTTCCTTTTTCTCTTCTTCTATTTGACTTTGCCGGGTAAAAAGCGTATCATTCGCGCGATGCGCCTCTTCTCCCCAAATACGCGAGATTACGCGTTTCCGAGAAATTTCACTGCTCTCACTGGGGCGACCGTCAGCAACTTCTTATCACCGACGCAGGTATACCTGCCAGCGTTATCGCGGATTTTCGTTATTTTATTTTTTTCAAGCCGAGAATATAAAGCCCTCGAGAGAAAGAACAACAAATGTCGGTTTGTACTCGTGTGTACGTGTGGGTAGCACATATACTTGTTATCTGACGTCGGGGATGGCCGTCAAACGCTGATAGGCCTAAGCGCTTACGCAAATAGATATCTCTTGTCTGAGTTCGAGGTGTTACATGCCTCAAGGGCACTTCTCTCTTTCGAAGAGTGAACAAAGCTGACACTAACCTTACTGTCGATAATAGTCCAGTGTTACATTCTATCGATATTCTATTTTTTTCGTTATCTTCGGTCAGTTAAATGGAGTCTGTTGTCGACTGTTTATTCTAGTTTTTGAGACTTCAAATGTCATTTTTTCTCGTGAACGGTGCGAGTCAATGAATGAAATTCTTGTATTATCTTCGGAATTCACACCGAATTGCTTTATATTGAATCATCATTTTTAAAATATAAATAGATTTAGCGAAAAAATTTACTTGATGTTTGCACATCTTTATAAGATCAACTTTATCTTAAACAAGTAAGTTTTCCCTTATGGAGGTTAATATTCTTTTGAACAGCATTTTATTTCAATGTTTACTTTGCAAATCCATAAATTTACTCTTGTCACTCTCCGTTTCAAATTCTTTCTTTTTAGTTATAGTTTCAAGAAAAAAGCAACAATATTTTGTCATTAAAAAAAATGCTATCTTCTAATTTTAATTATGAATTTCGTTACTGCATGTTCAATGTCCATTGGGTATTTACTGCAATAATTTAATTTTGTAAGCGATTACTACAAATTAATTTGTAAATATTGTAACAAGTTAGTAAACTCGTATTTTTTTTAACATTCAATTTGAAGCTTATCAATAGTGCAAATCGGGTAATCTTAAATGAAAATGCTGTGATATATAGATGAGAAATGTGCACGAAGTAAAGTAACGGTAAAAATATTTTTGAAGCACATTTATAAACTTTAACTTTGGCTCGAATCTTTTCATTTGCAAAAACTGCAATCACCGTAAACGTAATGCCGTCAAATAAAATTTACCAGGAAGTAATCAAAGTGAAGACAATAAAAGATTGCACTGTTCGCAAGATAGCGACGGCGCGTCCTGGTCATGCATGAAACAAACGTGGCACAAGGTGGCAAAGGTGTCTCGTACGAAATCAAACATCAGTAGATAATAAAGCGTTTCTTCTCCCTTTTATCGCGCTCTTCGTCTTTCGCTGCCCGATAAAACCTCGCACGCGAGAAAGAAAGACGAGCGGAGCTATTTGTTGTAAATATCTTGTACACACAAAACGCGCACCGGACGTCGTCGTCGTCGCCGTCGTCGCGCGCGCGCGCTCTTTTTTTTTCCGTTGATATCTCGGGTGCATAATGCCCCATTATGTGTATATATACGTATATGTATAACCTCCCTCGACCATGTTCGTGCGTATATCTTACACTTCTTTTATTCGGCTCCTTTTTCTTCTTTCTTCTCCCTTTCCCGAGCGATAAAAAGAATAGAATGGAGACAAGAAGTCGAAAAATTCTTTTTCTTTCTCGCGCCTTATGAAAGTATTATCTATACGTTTGCTTGCACGCTGGGCCAAATATTTTGTTCGCCTTGCTGCTTTTTAGTCTATATTTTACTTTATTTCGACGCGAAAGTAAACGCGAACGTTTGCGCTGACACAGATTCGCGTCTTTTTCGATTTGACGATTCAACTTTTTTTTTCCCTCTTCTTCACATTGTTCAACATTGCATTTCAATATTTTACCACGTTTATCTCTGACGTATTTATTCCAAAGCGCGCCACATTCTCGCGCACATATATAAGCCATCAATTCTCATCGGCTGGCCCGCGAACACTAAATAAAAGGCAAAGGCGTCGAAAAAAAAAAAAAAAAAAAAAAAAACAAGCGTGCGCTACACGGCAGTGCGCACCACGGGGATGATCCTCGCGCGTAGCATACGCGTGCAGGCACTAGCAGCGCACTTTTGCAGGTTTATCGCGCGAGCAGCGCGCGTCGAGCAAATTTCTAAAGATTACGTAGGCTCCCCGATGTTTATGCATTTATGCTGAATTATTGTGGCGAGAGCAAAGTGCAGCGGGACGGTGGGGAGAGGTAGGCAGGCTTTAGCAATGTTTATGCTGATTTACGCTTTGTGCTATCTGCCGGCGACACATTGTCCAAGAATTATTATTCCGTTCTTCTCTCCAGTTTTGCCCTAGGTCGTCCGCACTTGCGCGCCTCTGTTCGCGCGTTCGCTTTTGTCTCGCTATTTGCCCCCCCCCCCCTCCCCCCCGCCGCTGTCGCTCGTCGCCCATGCTTTTCGCACGCTCCGTATCGGCTAATTCGATTTGCATACGCGAGTTATACTCTTTGCCTGCCTCGCTGTTTACTGCGCGTACGATCGCGTTGCTCCTGTTCTTGCGACTTATGTCGACTTTCCGTTGTGCATAGATAAACGTTTAGAGAAATTAACGAGAGCTACCGTTTTGACATTCGAGCTCTGGGTTTTTCTAAATTTCGATGATTCCACGAGCGTTGCCGCAATCCAATTTCGACAAGAGAATTGCAGCCAGCTCGCGTAATGATTTGTTAAAATGATAAGCGCGAGAAGAAAGCTGCAATATCGATTACTGAAATGACCAATAAAAGCTGTCAGCACAGCGCGCGACGAATAAAAGGGCTTTGAGCAGAAATCAGCGAAAGGTGTCGAGATATCACACCCACATGGGCGCTCTGTGTATATGCGTGTGTGTGTGTGTGTGTGTGTGTGTGCATAGGGGACGGCGCGCACGCGTTTCGTTGAAAAATTGAAGGCGTGCACGCGCCTCTCGAAACTGATCACGAGGGTTCGTTCACGTCTCGTCCGAAGGGTTGCCATCGCACCATAATAGAAATCTGCTTGAGTCCACGGTGATTACTTTTTACTGCATGTTTTCTTCACGCATGTTATTCCATTTGAATTCATTGTTTCGCCATCCGCACTACTTTCAAAGCTTCTTCTTTTCTTTTATTTCGATTTTGATAAGTCTTTTTTCATCCGGCGATTAACACACGAGATTATCGGGCGTATGTTTCATCGCTGTGAATATGCTTGGTTGCTTTGCATTTGTTTTAATTGCAGATTAATTTTTGACCACGGCATTCGCCGAGAAGATCTTCATTAGTCGATGTGACCTAGTGATGTTACATCATAAAAGCAGTTTTTTACTTTTGTTATATTCGTGATCGTCATCGTTATCAATTTCAGAAAACACAAGCAGTGACTTCTTAACTTGATATTTCTCAAATTATGAAAAATTCATATTTTTATTAGATGACAATTATTAGTTCTTATTTCGAGTAAAACTTGAATAATACAAAATACATATTTTTTTCAAGAGCTCTGCAAGATTCAATAATTCTTTTAATGTACAATAATTCATATCCAGGTTGTATTGTAGTACAAAAGATGTATTATTTTCAATCCAATAACTGATTTTGCTGCGTGTGAATAAAATGTATCGCTAATTTATAGTGATGCAGCTTTTTATGAAAATGATCAATAAAAAAGAGAAAAAAAATGGACACTTTTGTTTGTCAATCCACTTGGCGGTCACAAGCCCGAAGAATCCTATACAGCGGCGCGCGTATTTCAAGTGGAGTAAACACCTCATTGCCGCGGGAAAGGAGGCAAAAAGTCGAAACAAAAAAAGTATAGCGAGCAAATGGCAGCAGCAGCAGCATCAGCGTCGGAGGAGCGAAATGGAAGAAAAGGGGCGGTGGGAGGCAAACAGGCAGGGCGGGCAGGCGCAAATCCTTTTAAATCCACACAATTGCGACAATGGGGCTTTATTTGTTATCTCGAGGGCCACATTGTGAGTCGTCGGGCGGCGGCGCGCGCGCGAGCGAGAGAGAAAGCACACCGGACAGATTACGTCGGAGAGGGTAGAGACGCGCGACCAGTGGCAGTGGCGTGACGACTTTATCATCGTGCCAGCGCTTTTTACCTTCCTCGCCCGTAAAAATGGATTTGGCGCCGGGAGGATCCTCTCTTGTCTTCTGCGCGCTCGCATCATCCTTTTTTCTCCCGCGTGTTGTGCATACCGCCTAAGAAGCTTAAGCCTCGTTTGCATGCAAACTTATATGGAACGCGTTACTTTTTCCTCTGCCCCCCCCCCCCCCTCTCGCCGTTGTTCCCGTGGCTTTCTCCGATTAGCGACATTATTTCGTCGAGGGCGCATACACACGCGCGGGCTGCGATAAATTTGATGATGGCGATAAATTTTTGGATATTTTGCTGGCCGCTTGCCTAAAGCTGGATTATCACTCATTTGATTTGTGCGTCGATGCCCCGCGCGCTCATCACTTGAATTATCACCGATCTTGCATTTATTATTTTCAATTTTTGTTTTCCTCGTCGCTGCCAACTTCACGATAAATACACCATTATCGTTTATTTAATTTGTGCTCGGCTAAACCGAATTTACATTGTGTTTATTGAAAAATAGATATCGCACGCCAAACGCGACTGCGTAAATGTTTACAACGGCTCGTCGTATCTTTATTCAAAGAGTCTATGTTTATTTTTGTAATCGATTGATCGATACTTTGCGCAAAGAAAAAGTCTCGTTTTCATCGCTTTTGCAACCTCCAATACCGCCGTCCCTTTCTCCGTGTAGTTGTCTTTTTCCTTTCAAATTTGCATGCTTTTCTTTCTCTTTGTCCATCAATCTTTTCGTCGGCCAACGAAGGATAGATAAACCATCGGTTTTCCTTTTCGAGCTTCCTTGCTCGAAGCTTTTCATTAGCGTCACGGCCTTTTGTTTTCTCTCTGTCAATCCTCCGATTGTCGCACTTGGCGCCCGGCTATATTTGATTCGGGGACTTTTCCTCTACTCTTTTTCCCTTCTTTTTTTGTTTCATGAAAAATCGAATGCGCGTCTTTTCAATTTCCGGCCAGCAACGCAGACTTCCTGAAAGCGAGGCAGATATCGCGCGCGAGAAAAATCCCGCGAGCTTCGAGAATAAAAGGAGATCCCCGAGTCCATACAGATATATTTTGCTGTATGGCTTTCTTTCCTCTTTCTCTCCGCGTGTGACTTAAAGTACACACACGCGTACCGAATGAGAATAGAAAAGTATCGTGGGGTGGAAATCAAAATATCCAATTTCGTCTTCATTCTTTGTGCGATACACTTCCTTTTTCCTCGGCTGCTCGGCATGATCAGGCTTTACCGTCCGATCTGTCCATAATATATGTACTCCCCAATGACGAGTGAAAGAAAAGAAAAATTATTTGAAATCATCTCTTTCGCCGCCGACTGAAAAATCGTTTTGAAACGACTGTACTCGTGCGTATTCTACGGTGCCCAAAAATAAATATACAGCAGCCGCCAAACGCTTAGGTCTGTACAAACGGCGAGCCGTCGGCGTGGCGTGTATTTATAAAAGCGATAATTCGATGGGAATCGACGAGAGGACTTAGGTCGACTAAATAAGCTCATAACAGTGATTAAATATTCATAGTGGGCAATGAAGAAGACCCCTAAGCTTATAAACACAACAGTCGCGCGTTCGGCTCTCGTCCTTTCTGCGTGCAGTCCCCCCATCCCTACTTTCTCTTGTTATTATGCCTCGATATCGGGCTTAGAGCACTAGATAGACTGCGGGGTGTGAGAATCAAAATATAGAAATGCATGCTACTAGAGCTGTGTGAAATATACGGCTCCTGAGGAATACATTCTTACAACTGTTACTTCACAATTTTTCTCGTCGATCCTTGTCTTGACGACAGAGTATGATTAGAAGTAGTTGTGATGATTTGCCAACCGATGCACACATGTGCACCAATTTTTCATATTAAATTAAACAGATTGAATCAATTTGCCAGCTTAGCGCACACAGCCTTTGCAGTCGAGATTGAATCGACGATAGACATCAAACGAAAATTCATCAAGGGTGTGCGCGTAATCGGCTAAGTTCGCTCGAGCGTGAAAAGTGGCGAGCAACGACAAAGAAAGAGAAAAAGAAAAACACGGGCGCGTAGGTAGTTCATCGATGGCAAAAAAGGGGGAGGGGGGGGCAAAGCGAGAGCGAGAAACAAGCGGACGATCAGCGAGCGATCAGCCATCAAAACGCCCGCGGCTTGGGCAACAATGCGCGGTATTACGAGCTAGCCCGCGGGCTTATTCGCTGCTGTCCTCTCTCCCCCATCCCTGTTTTCGCTCTCGCGAGACAACGCCCCCTCTCGCGCGCCGCGACGCAATAATTTCGCTCTCCAGTGCCTTCGGCCGGTAGCTAAAGTGCAATTAGCCGTACGGCGCAAAGAGAAGTAGCCGGACGACGGGCGCTCCGATTAATCGGCGCGGCGATCCTGCCCACTTCTTGTCTTTCGATCGTTTCGCGAACCCGCGATTTGCTCTCGCTAATTTCATACTCTCTCGCTCTCGTTGCGCGACCCGCCTATCTTAACTTTTTCCATCGCTAATGGCACCGTCAATTGTTTATTGGACGAAGAAATATTCGAAAAATACTTTAAAAATAGTTTAATATTAAATCCGTCTCCGTATAGGTAAGATTTTAGAATCGCACGAACGATCATTTCGATAATAATTTCGCGAAGTGAATTGATTATAATTGCGACGACAGTCGCGGGAAGAATTAGAGGATAAAGAATTTGAGAAACGCTCAATGAACTCATTCGAAAACGAAGCTCGAGGGCGTTATCCACAAACATTGTACGTACCTCAATCGTTTAGCTTCGTCGATGAACGGTCGTTTTTCGCCTTCACTCAGAAGTTTCCACTCGGCACCCAGCCTCTTTGAGATCTCGGAATTGTGCATTTTCGGATGCTCTTGAGCCATTTTACGCCGCTGTCCGCGAGACCAGACCATGAACGCATTCATAGGTCTTTTTATGTGTTCGTTGTGTAAACTTTTTGAAGACATCTTCGACGGTCCCTGTCGTTCAGCTGAAGTATTGCACGTGACTGATTCAATGTTTTTCTACGATAGCACTTTTAAATTTATAGTGACGCCTCTATTTTTTCGCGTTCATTACCCGCACGTAGAAAGATCACTCAATACCATCATGCCAATCAGTTTTTTTTGCGTCACAGCGCACTAAATACAACCGTTATTTTTCACCTATAAATTCAATTCACGATCAACACACTGATTCTTTTTCAGTCTTTTCGGAGTATTCCAACTACAATCACTTCAGGAAAGTGTTTGCCTGAAAATGCACGAAAGGAAGGAATTGAGCAATGAAAAAAAAACTTTAATGTATTGTTGATAAATGTTCCAATGAAAAGAGAAGAAAATTTAGCGCGCGGACGAATCGTTTATTGTTCAACTATGGCTTATCTAAAATAAAACTGACCTTCATATATACTCGACGCAGCTTTCTCGACAAATATTTCATTTTTCCATTCACTTCCAGTAATTAACAAAAATTGAAAGGTCGACACGGACGTTGATACGACGAGACGAAGACGGATACTCGGCTCGCAGTGCGCTCTCGTGCTCGACTCCGGCTTCTTCGGGGTAGCTGTGCGCGGGTGGGGCGCCAACCAATGGGATCTTTCCATGGTTCGCGATTGGCCGGAACGAACATGGCATGGCGGCGCAACGTGCAACAGGTGACGGTGCGGAGGTGAGCAACTCGCGAGTTTACATATATCACACGTGTATTGTATATAGATGCTACCCTTGTTTTATCACTGAACGTTTTTTTACTGTCACAGAGCAGTCGAAATGTAAACCAAATTAACTTCGAAAATTTAACGAAATATCTTTCCTTTGATGGAAAATATAGAAAAAAATTTATAATAAATAGTACTTATCTTTATTCATCAATACAACTAACTGTGAGAAAAATAGTTCAAAAATTGGAATAGTTATGATTAAAAAACGTACTATACTTGCAAAGAATTCTAGTTCTAATTATATTCAATTTTCATAATCGAAATTTTCGATTTCGAGAGTAGCGTTTATTTGTATGGAATGCTGCCGTGTTTATTTATCGTATGTCAAAATATTGTTTATTGTATAAAAAAATTTCCCGCTAATTTCTTTGCATGGTTAAATTTATTTATATTGTTAAATTACGAATATTTATTTGCAGTACCCGTGTAACGAAAATAGATCCCTAAAAATCACGACGATGAAATGTATCATTTGTTGCATACTTTTTTGACGTTTCGCCGTTATTCATTCATTTTTCACTCTTGATAGTACTTAAATTCTCTGGAACGGTTTATGCTGTACCATTTTATGACATAACGAATTTTTCCATGCATTAAATTTGCGGCAACATAAGTAATAGAAAAATGTAAAGATAAGCCCCAAATTTTTAAATGACAATACGTTTGGATTAGACGAAAGATCTATAGATTATGACGCCATTAAGATGGATAGAAAATTCATTTGAGTACTACTGACTTTAGTAATTGAATCAGACACGGAAATCCTCAAAAATGAATCAGGTGTTTAAGTATAATCTCAGTGACAGAGATTTTTCAGGTGAATATAACAGTATATAACTTTTTATTTGATCCTGGGAAAATTCAGGTAAAAAGATTAATAGATTTTGTTAAATTCAAAATAATATTAATAAATTTGGCATAAATTTTAATTAATTTAGAATCCATAATTTAGGATCACAAGTGACATGCAATAATAATATTGAACAAGATTATGAACTATGAATATTTTTAAGGAATCAACATGAGGGAGAACTATAACAATCAACTATATCAATCACTTTTCGTGTGGTATTATTTCAACTAATGTTATTTTTATTAGTGATTTTGTAAAAAATATCGTTAATTGAAATAACTTCTACCAGGCGAGGAGTGGAATCGTTTGGCATACATCAATGCCAGACTTTTCAAAAGTTTGTGTAAGGAAATATTAGGAAATATGTGTAAGGAAAGGGAATGAAATTCTAATAATGTCAATCCCAGTCCTGATTTCTTACTGCGGCTGTTATTAAACTCAATCAACTTGTAGAGCAAATAAAGCATGGCACGATAAATATCGTGTATATTGCACGCAAACTGTGGAACCACTTGAAAAATCAAAAAAAGATCCAGAAATGTCGTTCCTATTCTATATATACTATTAAATATCGCGCGACTTTCTTATCGCTAAAATAACGATTTGTACCTAGCCCATTCTTATACAAAGACGTACATTGCCCCGTTACAAAAGAACATCGCTCCGCCCTAGCTATAGAGGCACTTTCGCTCGCTCTCGACTCTTTCATTCCGAGCGCGCGCTTTTTCCTTCCCCTTCATTTTTTTTTTCTCTCGACGCCCTTTTCTTTATGCCGCTATCTCGGCGAGGGCGCGCGCGAGCCTCCTTTTCCTATCGCTCTGACCCAACATCTCGATAACGCGTCGCGCGCGTCGCAAAGCAACAGGACCTTTTCTCGATTGCGCCTTTGTCGGGGTCCGCGTCATTTTTTCCAACCGCTCGGTGGATCATTGTCGGTTGGAATGTTACGGACGGATTTACACGAACGCCGTGCAGCTTTTCGACTTGACAATCAGTTTGAAGAGCGAATCGAAATATTCGATCACCGAGCAGTGATAAGAATAAGATTTTCGAGTGCAGAATTGAAAATAACTAACCATGGCTCATTGAGCGCGAGTGTTAAATAAAACCGTTAGTCTCCGAGGCACGCCATGAAAGAATCTCGGGTGCCCGTCTCTCTCTGTCCTATCGCAATCGTAACACCCCTCGGCGATCGCAAGCCTCGATAAACTTAGTGTCAATTAGCGGCGCGACGCATCGCCTACAGCTCGCAATCCGACAAAGCGAGACCAGAAGGAAAAAGAGGGGTGGATTTAATCGACGGGGCGTCCCGTTTTCGCCCGAAGAGATAAGGATCCATTTGCTCCTACACATATATAAGAGAATTTCACATGCACGTGTACCCTCCCGCCCCCTTCTCTCTCTCTCTCTCACTACGCGAACCCCCTTTCTTGACTTGTACGATAATAAAGTTGAGTCGAATTTATTGTAGGTGGTATATCGTTGGCTTCAGAATATTATTTAAGTATCTCATTTTTTTTCTCAAGTATTGAACCTTACCTAATCAAATTTTAATAGAGCTTGTCTGTTGTTTTTTTAATGTAGCCTATGTCGGCGATAAGTAATGAATGAGATGTGTTATACGATACAGAATTTTATTGCAGATCGTCCTCTTTGTTGCTCCGAAGAATAATCATTTAGCCGGGCTGCAATCACGAAAATAGCAACTGGCTTAGCAGCTAATTAGAGAGACCACAGAGTCAAATAATCGACCGACGGGCGTTTAGCGTGTTGGTCCATTCTCCGGGTCGGATTCGATTTTTCCGCGCGCGCAACGCAGAGCTGCACCTGCAGCATGCGAGCGAGCGAACAAAACAGTGGTGCGGCACGGGTCGACGGACCAGCGTCATCGCAGCTGTCATTACCGAAGCTTGCGCGCGAAAAGCACGCTGATTACACTATTGTGCGAGCGGCTTGTTTCAGTTAATCGCGACGCCCGGCGTTTTGTTTCCCTTTTAGCTACTCTGCTGCCACTGCTGCTTTTGTCTCTGTTATATCTATATAGTTGTCTGACGATGAACATTACTCGGCTGGATTATCTTGCTGCTCAATTACGTTACTGATTTTTTTTCGTTCTTCTAGCGCGTTTATCCGCAAAATCAACAGCATATTACAATATATTCAACTTCGGCTGTGAAGAGTATCTTAAGATTCTCATCTACCAAAGTTTCAAATGTTTCATTTTGGCAATTTATATCACAATATTTGGTCCACCGTCACTTATAAAATTATTTTGGCTTGCTCGTTGAATAAGTTCAAATAACATAACACATTATTTGTGATACCCAAAACATTATTAAAATTAAATGGAGAAATTAGATTTATTTTATTGGATTTTTTATAATTTAATTCCATTAATGCTTGATTAACAGAAATTTGGAAAAACATGGAATAATATGTCATGAAATAGAAAGACATTTACTGTATGAACTGAATTACGCAGAACGTTTTGATAATGATGAAATCCAAAAAAGATATTTAATGAAAATAAAACCATGTCAATATATTATTATTTTGGTGTAGTAACATCAAAGACTTCATCATTTTGTGAAGCACTAAAAATTTAATTTTATAAACATCCCAGAACCAGATCACACAAGAAACTAGATCATATCACTTCATCGGAGACGACGCTTACCTACTCTTGGTTAATTATTGGAAAATTTAAGAGAAAATTGCACCATCACTCAATGTAAATATAAAATTATATTAAAAAAAGTTTTAAAACTTGTTCTGAAATATTATTATTTTATTTATTTTACTTTAGTTAGCAATTATTCGCAGTTTAATTTATAATTTAAGAGTATTTTTAACATTTCATCTTGTTTAGTTTTCTAGGACTTCATCGTTTAGAATGAAGTGCGATATAACAATTTTATATATATGTGGAATTTCTATAATATAAACATATGAGTCTATTTGCAACAGTATTCTACTGGCTAAGTGTTGTTGAGCCTAATGTTGAAAGGTTTTTCTACTGATTGTTGGTGTATCAGGTTTTCGTGAACTTTAAATTTCTTTAAAATATAACTTAAATATGAACTTATACTTTAAAATATAAACTTTAAATTTCTTTTGCGTGTTAATGCCATTAGTCGGTTTAAACTTATTTATATTAAATTTTGCATCTTCAAAAACAGAGCAATTAAATTTCAAAAATTTTATTTTCAGGCGAACAGCTTCCTCAAAATAGAAAGAACTCTATTTCTTCATAAAGATGGCTTCACGAGGAATGATATATTATAAAAAATTAGAATTACTGTTAAATGTATACTATAGCGAATAATAAATTGTTTTCATCATTGCTGCAATTTATACCATGAATTTGCTTTGAAAACAAATTAGATATGTTTTCTGATTTTTCAATGTTTTTATTAATGTTTATTGTCATAGTATAGAAGATGCCTAGGTAAAGCATGTAAAATCAGTACTTTTCATATTTTGATACAATCAAACAGTCATCTTACAGAACAATTTACAATTAAATGCATTTTACTTATATTTAAACAGTAATATTGTACCTCACCTTTGCCTCTACTCTGACATTTTCCTTGCAGGTCGCGAAGAAGAAACACAGCTCAAAATAACCATGAACAGAGTAAAAGGAATTATTGATCGTGATATGTTGCTAATCAATCGATATGAGTGATTTTCTTGCTGTATTTCTTCTGTATGTAAATATAAAATTGTTAAAAATATTTCTTTTATTTTCTATTATAAAAATCTAACGATACAGAAGTTATTTGGTGGCATTGTTGATTTTCTTAATAATTTTGAACGGAGCCTTCCTAATTACTTTGAACCATTCGTGTTTTTCCCTTAATGCATCAAAAATTGTAAAACGGAACTTTCTAATCATCTTAGAAGTTAACTTATCGAGCTGACTTATCGTAGTTAATTTTTTTTCATTGGTATAAAA